ATATATAGCGAAGTGGACTCGGCAAACTAGCCGCCAACTAGCCACCTCCAATAAGATCCCTAATACATCAATAACATCATCAATAGCATATCCGATACATATACAATACATCATTGGTATATTTTCAATACATCATCAATAACATCATCGATAACATATCCAATACATCTCTAATACATCAATGCATCACCAATACATCTCCAACACATCATAAATACATCCCCAGTCTATCTCTAGTACAACAAGACATCATCAAGCTCATCTCTGACATATCAAAAATACATCTCTACCTCTCCAATAAATCATCAACACATCATCAATACATGTACAGTGCATCAATACATATATAATGCATCAATACATCCCAAACACATCTACTATTACAATATATCAATATATCCCAATACATCTACAATGCATCTACTAGACGCCTAGAATACATTACTTTACATCTACAATACATCTATAATACATCTACTATACATCTACAATACTTTACAATACATATACTTTACATCTACAATACGTCCCCAATACATCTACTGCATCTACAATACATTACGATACATATACTTTACATCTACAATACATCCTCAATACATCTACTACGCATCTACAATACATTACAATACATATACTCTACATCTACAATACACCCCCAATACATCTACTATGCATCTACAATGCATTACAATACATATACTTTACTACAATACTTACACAATATATCTACTATATATCTACAAAACATTACAATACATGTACTTTACATCTACAATACAAATACTTTACATATACGATACATCTACTATACATATACAATACATCACAATACATATAATTTACGTCTACAATACATTCCCAATACATCTCCAACAAATATCTAGTACACCCCTAAAAAGTCTCCAATAGCTTTCACCACGTAGCACAGTCGGCTCTTACATGCGCACAGCAGTACATTGAGTGCATCAGCTTCACAATGTATGTCTTCCCGACTCAACGGCCAGACACTGACAACGAGGTATGCACTTTCAATAAGAGCGTCCCATGCCCGTCACAGCGAGAACTCTATTGATCAGGGACTATGCAGTTCCTCATCTTAGTTTTTAGTGTCGTAGTAACAGACCTGATCAGGTGGTGTGGGGTGTAGGGTTTGACAGGAACTACAAACCGGTACAAGTATATGTACACATCTGTGTATGATGAATATCAGGATACATGCGTAGATCCATGGTTGCATATTATTCATAATTATGCTTATATAT